CCCTGCAAAAAACCGCAGCGGTCTGGGAGCGGCTCGCCGGGGTCCTGCCGCAGGAGGCTGGCGAAACCCGAGGCCTCGTGCCGGACCTCCCGCTCCTCATCTTGCAGAAGGTGAATGCCCACGTTTATCAGCCTAGGGAAAGGGAAGAGAAGAGAAGGGAAGGGAAGGGCACCACACTCCCAGAGCATCCCCAGCCTGCCTGGAGCGTCGGGGAAGGATGAGACCCCTCCAGGGCAATGCTTCCCCAAGGGATTTTTCTCCTGGGTTGTGAAAGGCACAGCCACCACCCGAGAGCTCACTGCTTGGGACGGCAGGGACCGCGATGGGGGTCGAGGGACCCATCAATGCAGTTTATTGCTCATTGAGGGACCGGCTGCTTCTATTAAAAGGCCACCCGCAAATCTTTTTATGGGCTGCAAGCTCTTGGGTGCTAGCGATTTTTGCATGAGTGGCGTTCTCTTCAATGCCCTTGCATTTTTCACAGGGACCACGGCCTTTGGCAGGGTCAGACTATTAACCTGCAACACCCCAGGGCTGTGGGCAGCACAAGGACCTACCGCAGAGCCACGGGGACGAGCGAGCTGCAGCCAGCCCGCAGGGATCGCTGCACCACGTCGGCACCCGCCGCCTGCAGGGAGCGGGCAGCCGCCAGCCGCAGCACCTCGTAGGAAGCAGACTGGCTGCACGCCTCCACCGCCGTGCACCACCGCTCGACCAGGGTGCCATCCTCATCCTCAAACCTGTCAGAGGCCGGGGAAGGAGAGGGAATTCAGGCACACCTTCCAGCTCCATCCAGGGGTCCGAAGGCCACTGGCTGCCCTGAGACCAGAGGACACAGGCGCAAAGCTGGCTGTGATTTACAGGCGAGAAGCTGTGGCTCTGTTTCCAGCAAGAACTAAGGAAAAATCTCCTGGAAGGGTCAGGTGGAGTCCCCCGGCAGCAGCATGGACCTACCGGTGGGCGAGCAGCAGGCTGGCAGCACACAGTGCCTGGAAGAGGAGGTCGGGGCCAGGACACTCAGCCTCCAGCATGTGCAGCAGCATCTCCAGGCATGCTGCTGCAGAGCCCTGGAGCTTTCGGGAAGCTTCCTGGGACCACGACGAGGGGTCTCTGTAAAGATGCAGCAAAGCCTCAAGGTACAACCTCAGGAACTCTTTGTCCCTTCTCTCTTGCAGAACCGACCCCAAGCTCTCCTAGGTGACAGTGGGAAAGAAGGTACACGGTTAGTGGCCCTGGCACCACAGGGTGGCAACCTTAGCAAAACCAGGTGAGCACCCCACACCCGTGCACCCTCAGCCGGGGGAGCACCGTGCTTCTCGGTGAGCACCCGGGATCCCGTCTGCGTGGTGCATTGGGGACCCTCTGCTCTACTCCGTGACTTTTGAGCCTTGTCGTACCAGCAGTGTCAGCCTGAGAGCCTTCTCCAGCTCCTCGCACGTTCCTCTCTCCCCAGCAAGCACCCAGCTCAGGATGGCAAGCTGGACGTCGGGATTCGGCTGCCGAAGAAGCGAGCAGATGGTGCCAATCCGCTCGCCGTCTGCCAGCCGGGCTGCCTCGCTGCACAAGAAGCGGGCCATGGTTTGGTGGAGGATGGCTGAGCCCACCTGGAGGAAAACAAGGATCCCCCTTCCAACACTCAGCCACAAGTGGGGTGTATGCCCCCCGAGTGGGGGGGTGTCCCCACCTCCCACCCCCAGGCCTGCCATTAGGGAGGCCATGGTGGTGATTTTCGCGGCAGGCAGCGGTACCTGCAGCTCGGCACATCCCAGCTTTCCCCCCGGTGGGAGGCTGCCCAGCTCAGTGCTGACAGCATCACGGATGCTCTGGGCAAAGCTGGGACTAAGGGATGCTGGTAGGAGGGCGAGGACCTGGAGAAAGGCGGCACGGACGAGCGGGCAGCGCTGGGCAGGGGTGAGCAGCCAGCCCCGCGCCTCCAGCTGCAGAGCCACGGGGCTTAGCGCCTCGGTCGACAGCCTGCAGAGAGACCCGCACCCTCACCGGGGGCCCGTGGCACAGGGGCGGG